CAATGCATCAGTTATCCAGTCAGTACATGTTTAAACTAATAAGCAACACATCAGTTATCCAGTCAGTACATGTTTAAACTGATAAGCAACACATCAGTTATCCAGTCAGTACATGTTTAAACTGATATACAATGCATGAGTTATCCAGTCAGTACTTGTTAAACTGATACACAACACATCAGATATCCAGTCAGTACATGTTTAAACTGATACACAACACATCAGATATCCAGTCAGTACATGTTTAAACTGATACACAACACATCAGTTATCCAATCAGTACATGTTTAAACTGATACACAACACATCAGTTATCCAGTCAGTACTTGTTAAACTGATACACAACACATCAGATATCCAGTCAGTACATGTTTAAACTGATACAAAACACATCAGTTATCCAATCAGTACATGTTTAAACTGATACACAACACATCAGTTATCCAGGAAACGTTGACTTCAAAATCTGAAGTCTAATGAACTAATTACTGAATGGGAAATATAAAGTGTTATCTATTAGTTTAATGATAAATTAGTGGAAAATCTAAAGTGTTACGTCTCGTTCTAATGAGGTACTGACTGAAAAATCTGAACTTTTGGGTACCAGACTAAATAGATAGTGAAAGTACGATGTATTGTTCGCCTGTCTGAACAGATGTAGTTAGTTACTTGCCACGACGAGCAAGCTCTGATATATTATCTGGTAATATATTATATTATTATCAGTTTAAACATGTACTGACATCAGAGTAATACACAATACTGCAGATTTTGAAGTCAACGCTTCATCAGAGTAATACACAATACAAAATTATGGAGTTGGGTTAGGAAGTTCTCCCCCACCCACCAAATACTCCAGATATGGCACCATTAGATTACCATATTTTTCGTTCACTGCAACACCATCTTAATGGAAAAACGTATGCAAATGTGGAAGGTGTTAAAGAGGACATCGACATATTCTTTGCTACAAAGCCAAGTGATTTCTTTAATCAGGGCATTAACAACCTGATTGTAAGATGGAAAAGCATCATCGATAAGAATGGAGACTATTTCATTTAATAAATGTTTTGTTTTGATATATAAGTTGTTCGGTTTTTTTTGTTTTTTTTCATCTAAAAGAAAGCGACATTAATTTCTTGGCGACCTAACATTTGTTGTTGTCTAGAAATCGTACAGATATAACTACTACTTTTGCTTAAGTGTTAAAGTTTACGTGAAAAACTAGTTGTGGTTCAGTGTAGAGTCTTATTTGTTTTAATTTTAACCTGTATGGAGAAAATCTCTGCCGTTGTGCAAATGATCCGATTGCTAAACTGAACCGTACAGTTGTTGTTTTAGGTCAAATATATCATTGTTACTTTTCCTACGTCGTTAGAAAACACAACAGTGTTACTGCTGAATAACACTAAGAGTTTGTAAATGTCTTAGACAAACCACTAGCATATATTAAAAGTTAGGATTAGTGTGAAATTAAGATTTTAGACTTTTCAGTGGAGGACTGTGTTGATTTATGAACTTAATGGGAGTGCAGTAGAAATAAGAATTATTGAAAATGATGAAGGCTATATAGTTAGTGTTCAGTAAAACTAGACCAAGTGACAGTAGTTAATGTACATTCAACTTTTTCAGTGTTATAAGAAGATTCTCCAGGTGGACCCTAACAACGTCCAAGGCCTACATAACCTGTGCGTTGTATATCTTCACCGTGGTCAGTTGAAACAAGCTGAACGGTGTTTCCTTGAAGCTTTACAACTAGCTCCAACTGCTGACTACATCAGTCATCATCTCCGATTGGTTCGCTCCCAGATTTTAAAACAAACTCAACCAATGGGAATACCCCGATCGGATGTATGGCATCTTAAGTCTTCTGGATCTATAAGATGAGGTCGAATCTGAACTCAATCTTTCACGTGCACCTTTACACTTCTCTACAAAGAGAAATCTCCACTTCATCAGGATTAATAAGCCAAGTGTTCTTTAAAAACTAAATGTTGTATAAGAGATCAGCAAATGGTTCAGTCAGTTATATCACTAAAGTGGAAATTATGCGCTCATTATATTTAAAAACAACATTATTGTTGTTGTAAAATTACTCTGGTGTTAATTTAAACATCTTCAGTAGTTATTGAGCGACCTTGAAGATTAAACAATGATTTAAAAATCTCAAGTAGTGTGTATTACTCTGATGAAACGTTGACTTCAAAATCTCAAGTAGTGTGTATTACTCTGATGAAACGTTGACTTCAAAATCTCAAGTGTTGCGTCAAACGTGCATTGTCATGGAGAAGAAGAACACATTTCCGATTGACGAGTGAAGGGCGTTTTTGATGAAGGGCTTGATTTAAACGTTCCAGTTGCTGACTGTAGATCTCTGCATTAACAATTCGCTGTGGATTGAGGAGTTCGAAATGAATTACTCCTTTGATGTCCCACCAAATGTAAAGCATCACTTTCTGCGGGTGAAGTCCAGGTTTGTGGGTCAGAAGTGGTTTTTGTCTAGAACTGAGTCATTGTTTTTGGCATTTAATATTTGCATTGATAATCAATTTTTCATCACCGGCGACAATTCTGTCCAAAAACGGCTCACGAGCATTACGTGCCGAAAGAGACAAAGCAACGTTCACACGTTGGAAACGATG